ATCGGTCGCAACGGTACAAAAGCTACTTCCTCTCTTCGTTCACTTTTATAAATCATTTCAGAACAATCTAATTAAGTAGACTATTTTACACACTGTATGTCTTCAAAGTCTTTTAAAAATGAACAGAGGGAGGAAGTAGTAGGATGACCAAAGCCGGCGTCGCTGTAATCCGCGTGCTCACTTTCCATCACTCCATAGTCGGGAACTGAACGTGCATTTGACTCTGCGAGCTGCTCGGCGACTCTGGGAGACTAATGAGCAGAGGGACGCAGCTTCGGATCACTGACATGTGGGCCAGCCACCTGTTGGGCCCACTCGTCCTGAGCAGAGTGTGTCACGGCACGGACGACGGTTTTTTTTATGGTGATGGACACGCGGTGTGGGTTGAGATCGTCTACAGTACTATACCCTGTTGTAGTGCAGATGATAGGTGGGGTCGAGTCCACTTGACGGCGACCATACTGCACCATGTGCTACTACAGAGGATCCTAACCCCGCGCGGTGCATGCCGTGCAGGGGAGTTCAATGGCGTGTTTCAGGGTCCTGCAGTCCTCCTAGACATTTCTTATGGTCCTGCCGCATCATAAAAGGCCTTCAAGGAAAACTTGGCAAAGTCAACTATGGTCTCGCCGACATCCACACGCAGGAGGCCATCGACTATGGTCTCGCCGACACAAACTTGGCAAATATGCAAAATATTCAACCGCTATGGTCTGCATTTTCGTCGTGTCGGCCTACAGATGAGGTAATCACCAATTACAAAGGAAAAGAGGTGGTGGCTGGTTTTGATGCAAGTAATACTGTTGTGAGGCCCAGACAGGTGTGGCAGCCGCCTCCTTTTGGCCATATCAAGATCAATGTCGATGCAAGTTTTGTGGAGAGTTTAAGTGCCGCGAGCGATGGGGTGGTGGCCAGGAGTTGTACGGGTGATATCATTGTCTCATCTTGGGTCTTAATTGGGTTATGCTCTGGTGTGGATGAAGCGGAGCTTCGAGCATGCCTAACTGGGCTTTATATCGGTATTTCTCTTAACATGCTTATTATTTTGGAAACTGATTGTGCGTTCGTGGCTTCTTTCCTAGCAAATGAAAGTTGTGACAGATCCTCGCTCATAGACCTCAAGAAGAAAGCACTTAGCATCACCAGGCTTTTGGGAAACTTCAAGTTGTCAAAAATAAATAGAAGGGTCAATTCAGCGCATGAGATTGCTAAATTTAGTTTCGATAATAGATGTGATGGTTTTCTTTAATAATTTTTCCGCCCTGTGTGGCGCCTGCTGTTATGAACGATTGTAATGATGTTTTAATAATTAATTAATATAAGGACGGGTGTTTTTTTTTAAACACAAGGGCTGGAATGGAATGTCATGCTGAAACGACATGCACATTTGTGCAAAAACTTCTGAACAATCATTATAGTACTGATTTTTTTGCAACATAAGGACAAATACAAATATGAATTCCAGAACAGTAAACAGTGCCAGTAGCAGCAAAAATCCAGAACATTTATGCTTTACCATACTGCAAACCAAAGCTTTTGATTGATCAAACAAATGTCATGCATGGTATGCATTGCCTTTTAGCTTAAGCTCAACCTCTAGCTCCTTATGTCTTAGCTGTCATATCATGCTCCTCCTCATCACTGACGGAATTCCTTATGAGATGACTGTGCTGCTGCTGCTGCTGGTGGTGATCCTTTTTTCCATGTTCTACAAATTGAAATCCGGATCCGGGGTTATCATGTTCTGTAGTTCGGTTGATAGGCATTGTGAAACTCCCTGGCATCTGAGATTGGTTGAATAGATGTTTTCCTGAGCTTGGAGCATGCATTTGCATGGAGTTACATGTACATTCAAACTACCATAAGGAGTTCCCAAAATGATCACCAAGGCAGGCGAGGGATTGGGGATCAGCATGGGGTTGAGGGACGAATGTGCGAAATCACTAATTAAGAAGTATTCCTTCCAAAAATTACTCTCACCTATTCAGGTTGTGACACTTGTCGCAATCTGAGAGTTTTCCCTTTTTGCGTACGTTTTTTAATACATTTTATTTTTTAAACCGTACGTCCAAATCTCGAACCATTTCATCAATTGGATTCCTTGCGTCGAGATCTTAAAAACTAGATCCCACGTTGATAAGTTTTGGCGAACTTTTTTTCACGAAAAAGCCCGAATGGAAAAGCCGAACTGGGAACCATTTTTTCTCTCGTGAAAGCACAACCGTGCCTCTCGTAGAAGCAAAACCGTGCCTCTCATGAAAGAAAAAAAATGTATTTCTTTTTTCGTTTCCGAGAGGCACGGCCGTGCCTTTCGCGAAAGCACAATGCCTCTCGTGGAAGCAAATTTGTGCTTCTCATGGTAGGAAAAACAGAAAACACGTTTTCTTTTGTGTTTTCCTCTCGCGAAAGCACAATCATGCCTCTCGCGGAAGCAAAACCTTGTCTTTCGCGGAAGGGAAAAAACAGAAAACACATTTTTTTTTCATTTCCAAGAGGCACGTCTGTGCCTCTCGCAGAAGCAAAACCGTGCATCTCATGAAAGGAAAAAAACAGAAAACACATTTTTTTTCATTTCCGAGAGGCATGACCATGCGTCTGGCGAAAGCAAAACCGTGCCTCTCGCGGAAGAAAAAAAAACGTTTTTCGCGTTTTTTGGTCCAAAAGCTAAGGAAAACCAGTGAAAAACCAAAAATTCATAAATCCTCAGAAAAAAACCCGTTTAAAAAGTCAAAAACGCGTGCAAAAAGAAAATCCGAAGTGAGTGCCCAAAGCGCGATATGTGGTGGTGGCTGAGAGTGCGCCAAGTGATGCGCTCTGAGCCCACCCCCTAGTGATCGTTGGGAGGCTTCCGAAGGAGCGCTCGTCAACTAGTTTTTTTAGGGGCGAAAGGTACTTTATTCAATCGAAACATTCAGAGGTATGTTACAGATATCTGGTAAAGAACCCAGCCAAATATAGCGGCCTGCGCCTAAGGACGATGCAGCCTTCGCTAACCTATGAGCATCTACTACGAACTCCCTATACTCATGCACCACATCCACTAGAGTAAACAATTTTGCCCTAGCCTCCACTTCTCGCAAAATCATCGAGTATGAGCACTTCGCCTTTCTTCTCAAAATTAGTAAGAACTTCCAGACAATCTGAGACAACTTTTACCATCCTAATATCCAGATCTTCGGCAAGAGCAAAACCTTCATTACATGCTATAGCTTCTAGGCATGCTGAATTTGTCTAGCCATTCATAACAACAGAGCGGAAGCACCCAAAAACTGTTTGCGCTCATCACAACAAATTGCTGCTGCTGCCCCTCTTCGATCATCCTTGGACAGTCCTCCATCAACACTCACCTTGCACCAACCAGGCTTTAGAGGACTCCATAACCTGCTATGCTTCCCTGCATGTGCTTCCGGTTTCATTGCTCTCTTCTGTTTCATGGGCGCCTCAATTTCTTACTTTGTGATAAAACCAAAAGTGGAAACATGATTCTGAAACTGTTTTGGAATTATCACGGCAGATGTGTCCTAGTGTGAGGACTTAGTCGTGAGGCCAGCGTATCTATGTGGTAGCTTGAGAGGGGTTGATCGGAATCGAGAGACGCAACGCACAAGACGAGGGTTTAGATAGCTTCGGGCCCCGGGAAACATCATCCGGTAATAGTCCTACATGTTGTTTATGGCTAGGTCTCATTATGCTCATGAGGGAGTCGCCGGTAAGCCGGCTCTCCTCTAGTTGTGTCTAGCCCTAAAGATTATTGCTTCTTGCTTGTCCCTCTTTGGGGAGCCCTGCCCCTCCTTATATATGTTGAAGGGGCGGGTTACATGTGGAGTCCTATTAGGATTAGGACTAGTCTACCTTCTAATACAAACTGGATACAAGTTCGGGTCTTAACTCCTTGTAAGGTAAAACATTCTTCACGCCTTTCCTCTTAAATCGGCCCACCATTAACATAAACCGGCCTTCCGGGCCTTGGGCCTAGTCATCCGTCTGTCCCACCCACCGGATTACCAGTGAGTCATAATGTTCAGGCAGGTTGCTTGTAAACCGTCTGGTCAGGGCGGATCGTCAGTGAATCGCCAAGTGTCAACCGGGTCTCAAGTAAATCGCCAAGTCCGATCGGGTCATATTTTCGGCCAGGTCATACCACGGGGTATATCCCCGACATTAGCCCCCAGTTTAATTTGGATTTATCCATGTTAAACTGATCCTATACAACAAACACAAAAACAACCTTGACAAATCGTACTCCGGGTTAAAAATTCTTGTAAACCGGCACCTGATTATCTTTAAGTCCTTGTCATTTCCTTCTTGATACATGCCCATGAACTCATAGCAAATATTCTTTAGTAGATACGTTCAAACTTTGTGAATGCAAAAAATCCAGATACTTTTCTTGAGAAATCTGGATCAATAAGCCAGCTTCAGAGTCAATTTGCTGACATTAGTCTCTTGTAGAGAAATATTGTAAGAAATAATTCATTTGAACCGGCTTCCAAAGCGCCGGATTAAAAAATATTGGTCTTGAAATACTCATCTGACTTTCAGCCGGCTTGACGATGTAAAACTTGCCGGTTTATTATTATCAAAATTGCCGGGTTATAAAACAGACGATGCCGGGTCATAATTATTGTTGACACCGGGTCATGTAATTGATCTTATATCCATATTACCGGGTCATAAAATAATATGATGCCAGGTCATAATTGTTGTTGACACCGGGTCATGTAATTGATCTTATATCCATATTACCGATAATATGGATATAAGATCAATTACATGACCTGGTGTCAACAACAATTATGACCCGACATCGTCTGTTTTATAACCCGGCAATTTTGATAATAATAAACCGGCAAGTTTTACATCTTCAAGCCGGCTGAAAGTCAGATGAGTATTTCAAGACCAATATTTTTTTAATCCAGCGCTTTGGAAGCCGGTTCAAGTGGATTATTTCTTACAATATTTCTCTACAAGAGACCAATGTCAGCAAATTGACTCTGAAGCTAGCTTATTGACCCAGATTTCTCAAGAAAAGTATCTGGATTTTTTGCATTCACAAAGTTTGAACGTATCTACTAAAGGAGATTTGCTATGAGTTCATGGGCATGTATCAAGAAGGAAATGACAAGGACTTAAAGATGATCAGACGCCGGTTTACAAGAATTTTTAACCCGGAGTATGACTTGTCAAGGTTGTTCTTGTGTTTGTTTTACAGGATCAGTTTAACATGAATAAATCAAAATTAATCTGGGGGCTAATGTCGGGGATATACCCCGCGGTATGACCGGGCCGGAAATATGACCCGGCCGGACTTGGCGATTTACTTGAGACCCGGTTGACACTTGGCGATTCACTGGCGATCCGACCTGACCAGACGGTTTACAAGCAACCTGCCTGAACATTATGACTCACTGGTAACCCGGCGAGCGGGACAGACGGATGACCAGGCCCAAGGCCCAGAAGACCAGTTTATGTTAATGATGGGCCGGTTTAAGAGGAAAGGCGTGAGGAGTTAAGACCCAAACTTGTATCCAGTTTGTATTAAAAGGTAGACTAGTCCCAATCCTAATAGGACTCCACATGTAACCCACCCCTTCAACATATAAGGAGGGACAAGGCTCCCCAAAGAGGGACAAGTAAGAAGCAATAATCTTTAGGGCTAGACACAACTAGAGGAGAGCCGGCTTACCGGCGACTCCATGAGCATAATGAGACCTAGCCACAAACAACATGTAGGGCTATTACCGGATGATATTTTCCGGGGTCCGAAGCTGTCTAAACCCTCGTCTTGTGTGTTGCGTCTCTCGATTCTGATCAACTCCTCTCAAGCTACCACATATATAGATGCGCTGGCCTTATGACTAAGTCCTCACACTAAGACATTTGCCATGACAATTCCACGACAGAAACCCTACATCATGAATAGCTCTTCTTCTAGCTCGTCAACTAGTTGACTGAAAATATGCGCTGAAGCGGGCAATGTTTAGTTGGGTTTGGACCAGACATGAAGATTCGGCCTGCTTGTGCGCGTAGAGCCAACCGGGCCGGATATGAGACGAGGCTTCTTTTTTGGGCGGCACAGTCTAACCTTAATTTAGAGCCTTTTATTGCGATGGACCTGAATTTAATTTAGAATACAAATAATCTTCGTTTTTCTCAGGGATCTAAAATAATCTTTTTGTACTACTGAGTTTGTTTTCCTACTCATGTAGAGTACGTATTTTAATTGATCATTGTAACATTTTATTTCTAATAACAAAAGAGTGGGGAGAGAACCTATTGATGCGAAAGATTTGCAACATGAGTGTGAGCATTTAGATAATATAGATGGGGTTTTTAATGATGAGCATGACGTTAAGATAAATATTAGAGCAATTTTCTTGAACTTCAAAATACTGCCAATGCAGATCATAGATGATCCCCAATAACAAGCATTTTTTTAATATCAACATTAAAATAAATATTAGAGAAGTTTAAAAAAAATATTATATAGAATTATAGAGCATGACGGTTGTAGACTTACTGATAATATCGAACTTCAAAAGATTTTCCGAAATTCGGGGTTCACTATCACATCTGCCACAGCCAAAGTTGACAAAAATTCAGGGTTTCCACTAGTGAAATATGCCAGACAATACAAGATGGTGGCAAAATATGGGTGCTGTATAGTGCGAGTGCAACGTTTTCATCAGCTTCAATCTATCCCAGACAACAGGCGGATATCTTCTAAGTCTACAACCTGTGGCAGCACAGTCGCCTGAGCGTATCTTTGCCTTCTAGTCTACCTGGGAGCGGTCGGAGTCGACCATCGCCCAGCTCCAGCTGGTGCGCGCTTCCCAGACTGCCGCATCTCCTGCGCCTTGGCCAGCTGCGCCGTCAGGTCCTGATGTACGACGAACAGTTCATCAGCGCAAAGCCCCCGTGGTATGTTATAAATCACACATGGATGAACAAGACAAGGGGCTAAAAGGTGGTACCTTCGGCTTGAAAGAGCCGTCCAGCGAGTGCAGGATCGTGTCCGCGAGCCCGTAGTCAATGGCCTCCTGCGCGCGGAAGTACCTCGGGCCTCTCAGGAACTCCGCGAGCTCTTCCTTCGGTTTACCGACTCCCTTGGACACGAGCTCCAGGTAGTAGTCCGTGTTGGTTTCCAGCTCTTTTGCCTGAGGACAAAACAAAATATTCAGTGCATAGTGCAACACGGCAGTATCATGTCGCGGCTCAGATGTACTCATATCGGAAAGCAGAGTTGAGTTTCACCTTAATCCACATATCAATGGCAGCTCCACCGGATTTGTGGACCTTGGGCAGGTGCAGTTTAGCTGCAGTTCAGCAATGTGCATCAAGAGATACTTCAGACTACCGTGTCAGAATTATATATCCGTGTGGCCCAGGAATCCAAGAAAAGAGACATACTTATCGAATTTGGTAACACTCCTCTTTTACCCTTCATCCCCAGGGAAAGAAGCATTGCAGCCTGACCATATGCCATGCTAAGATTGATGGTGTAAACCTTAGCTTTGCTTCGCTGTAGAACCAAGAAAAATATGATAGGAGTCAGGCAGAACTCTTTTGTGTATGTAAGAAAATCAACGTGGATAGTCCTAACGCTTTAAAGGGAATGGAATGCTTCGTTCCATTTGATTTATCAATGGAGTATGTTAAGATGTAACTGCACAGACTGAGGGATACAAGCATCCATCTTCTGCAGATCCATGGTTTGCTAAACACTAATCAAGTGAATTCAAGAGCCCTTACAACCAAAGGTGGAGGCAAGAAAAGGGCGTTCCCAGTGCTGAAACTCTTTTTGTGCATAAATAAATATCAATGCCGATAGTCATATTGCTTCAATGGAAATGGAATCCTTCATCCCGTGTTATCAATGGAGTGTGATAAGGTGTTACTGCAGTCTGAGAGGTAAAAGCAACCAACTACTATAGATCCAGTTTCATGGTTCACTAAACACAAGTGAATTCAAGAGTCCTTACAATGAAAGGTGCAAGCAAAAGCTAGAAGAAACAAAGTAAGAGCCAGCATCTCTGATAGCAGAAACAACTCCAGCCAATTGATCTTTGCTTCAATTTTGGGGAAATATGAAGGAACACAATCAAATATGCAGAATATTCAAACCGCTATAAACTAAAAAACCCAAGGGCTGAATAGATTGGCATGCTGCAACGACATGCACATTTGTGCAGAAACTTCTGGAAAATCATGATATAGAAAATTTGCAACATAAGGACAATAATTACTTGCCTGGTCCCAAAATGTAAATATGCCCTGGGGCTATAATAAAAACAGAGGATCATTAATGCAAACATAGTTCATGGATCCAACCCCATATGCAAATATCAACACGAGATATGACGAATTATGTGTAATATTATGGGCATGATAGAAAGGTATGTCGAGTTTCCAGTTAATCTGAGTGACAATAGATAAGGGCTTACATTAATGAAATCAGCAATTGCATAGGCATCAGTTTCAGATGCGACCAGCTCGTTATTTTCATCCTATTGCAGCACAGAGAATAGGAGTATCAATACTCGAATAATGTCAAAGAGAATGGAAAATTGCATGTTAACAATTTAGAAAAAAAATGTTGTTTCCAATATCAACATCTAAGTACTTACGTACCATGGTTCCTGTTGAGTTTATATACAAGTAAATTGGCTTTGTGCGGTCATCATAGTCTAGCCACAGAAACTGAGCAGCAATAAGCTCAGTTACAGCTGGAACAATCTAGCAATAGACAAGGAAAACACAAGGTTAGCATTTTGCTAGTTGAAACCTTATAAATTCAGTGTTGCACATAAGAAATAAGACAGAAGGTTGATCTCTTACTGGCATTCCAAGAAATATAATTCGGGAGTCCAACAGCAATGATGGCAGATCTGGGGCTGAGCTTCTCATTCTTCTATATCCTTTCCCTGCTCTTCCCATGCTCATGCTGGGCATGCCCATACCCATGCTGTAACTCGCAGGGCCCTCATGTGTGCCTGATAAGGAGTACATACC